AGACAGAGTTTCACTCTGTCACCCAGGCTGGAATGCAGTAGTGTGATCTCAGCTCACTGCCTCTGCCTCCCGGGTTCAAGTGATTCTCCTGCCTCAGCCTCCCACGTAGCTGGGATTACACACGCCTGCCACCACGCCCAGCTAATTTTTGTATTTTTAGTAGAGACAGGGTTTTGCCATGTTGTCCAGGCTGGTCTCAAACTCCTGACCTCAGGTGATCTGCCCACCTCGGTCTCCCAAAGTGCTGTGAGCCACTGCGCCCGGCCCAGACACAAATATTTTAAATGTCCACAGGAGATGGAGGCATGGGGGCCTTCCAGGTCCACTAGGTCAGCAGGAGCTCAGGAAGCTCTGACCGAGCCTGTGCGCTATGGCTGGCAGCTGGCAGCCTGGCCCTCAGGGGACACAAGGGCTGCAAAACAGCCTCCTCCCATCCCTCACTGAGAGCTGCATGACAGTCCCCCAGTCTGCCTCTTTTGGCACAAAATCCATAAATGCCATGAACACCCTAGTTCTGCAGGTGAGGAAGCTAAGGAAGTCAGGTTCCAGCAGCCCAGGTGCAGGGCTCTGATGCAGGGTCAGGACAGGGACAAAGGAAAAGTCAGCCACAGGGCCAGGGACCCCACAGACACGAGGTCCCCACGGTGTGGGGGAGGCATGAGACAGAGGGTCAGGCCACAACCCCACACAGGCATGCTCGGAGGTCAGCACCTGGCCGCCTGCCTGCACACACTCCCCGCCGAGGGCCCAGTGCCCCAGTGGTGGGTGGAGTCTGCAGTGAGCAGTGACCATAACCTTCGGAGAATTTCCAGAACCAGAAAAGAGGGGCCACTGCCCAGTTCCCTTGTGAGCCAGGTGAAATTTGATTCCCAAACTGGATGAAGACAGAGCAAGGAAAAAAGTCCGTCTCATTTACTAACACACAGGCACAAGCCAATAAAATAAAGCACACGGTCATCTCCTTCGATGCTGAAAACACTGGAACGGTTCAACACCCACTTAAGATTGTTTTAAATGTCAGAAAGCTAGGAATAGTGACTTTCTCAGCTTGATAAAGACTTTTTATAGCACACATCATTCTTGGCAGAGAAACTACTAGTAATTCCTGTTACAATCAAGACAAGGAAGGATGTCCACTAAGATCGCCACTATCCAAAAGCACCAGAGGCCCAGTCGCTGCAACAAAGGAAGAAAAACAATGAGAGGACAAAGGGAAAGAGGTCTGCAGAGACCCCAACAGAAACCAAGACACCACTAGAACTAACAAGGAGTCAGTCAGTCAAAAATGTAACAGGAAGCATGATACCATCCATAATATTATAAAAAGTAACTTTCAGGCCGGTGAGGTGGCTCACAATTGTAATCCCAGAATTTTGGGTGGCTGAGATAAGAGGATTGCTTGAGCCCAGGAATTTGAGACCAGCCTGGGCAACAGAGGGAGACCTTGTCTTTATGAAAAATAAAAATAAATTAGGCTGAGCGCGATGGCTCATGCCCATAATCCCAGAGCTTTGGGAGGCCGAGGCGGGTGGATCACCTGAGGCCAGGAGTTTGAGACTAGCCCGGCCAACATGGTGAAACCCCATCTCTTTTAAAAATACAAAAATTAGCCGGCATGATGGTGAGTGCCTGTAATCCCAGCTACCTGGGAGGCTGAGGCAGGAGAATCACTGGAACCCAGGAGGCAGAGATTGCAGTGAGCCGAGATCACACCACTGCACTGCAGCCTGGGCGACAGAGCAAGACTCCTCATCTCATAAATAAATACATATACGTATATATTAGCCGGGTGTGGTGGCTCACACCTGTGGTCCCAGCTGCTTGGGAGGCTGAGGTGGGGGGATCACTTGAACCCAGGAGGCGGAGGTTGCAGTGAACTGAGATCCCACCCACTCCAGCCTGGGTGACAGAGCGAGATTCTGTCTCAAAAAAATAATAATAAAAAAATAAATAAATTAGCCCGGCATGGTGGTGTACAGCTGTGGTCCCAGCTACTTGGGAGGCTGAGGGGAGAGGATGGCTTGAGACCAGGAGGTCAAGGCTACAGTGAACCAAGATCACACCACTGTACTCCAGCCTGGGCCACAGAGCAAGACCCCCGTCTCAAAAAATTTAAAGAAATTTGTGCCACTGAATGGCACCCTCTTGAACCGGCCCCCTTGTAGGCGTTTTGGAAAAAGAACACCCACGTGTGTGGCCGTGTCTGTCACTGGTGGCTCCTCCTCCCTCCGGTTCCAGCACTCCCACGCCTGTCCTCCCGCAAACTGTTCTCGGACCTCACATCCAGCTCTGTAAGTGTGGGGCGGCCACTCTCCCAGCCTGCGTGGGGCCTCGAGGGCATCAGGGTTGGCTCTGGGCCCTTCTCAGGACACTCTGAGGTTTGGGGATCACCTGGTGGCTTTGTGGACGTGTGGGGGGAGCGCAGGTGGGGTCCCTAACCTTCCCCACACACCAAGGGAGCAGAAGACATGCTTAGCATCCATGCTGCCAGCCTGAGTGCTAACCAGCAGCAATGCGTGGCCACAGGGACAGGCCCTACCCTGCCCTGAGCAGCAGCAGGCAATCGGGGGCTGGGCTTTGGGAGGAAGACCCAGCACCTCCGGGAACGAGCCCAAGGAGGAGAGGAGCCTGGGATGTTCCAAGAGCCCAAGGGACTTCCTGGGGAATCCGCAGTGATGCCTTCACTCCCACGGGGTGGACGGGTTTCGCGGTATTTCTGAAGGAGCCATCGCCCAGTGGAGTCCCAGGAAGGCGGAACCCACACGAGTCTCCCGGCGAGGACGCCCACCAAGCCGCACCTCCAAGGAAGCCCATGGGGACACTGGGAAGGCAACTGGACGGCTCGGGGTTCCAGAGGGAAAATTCCACATCAGCTTCCAGGCAGGAGTGGATGGATGGGTGACCCATGCCACGTGCTCCCCCTCTGAGCTCTGACGTGGCTGCAGTGGGCCAGGGAGGGGCCCTGCAAGCCCAGCTTGACCCAAAACACCAGACACAACCCCTGGAGGCTGACAGCCAGTGGGCAGCACAGGGAAGGAGGAGGCGGACACTGGTGACGGGCAGAACCCCCAGGCACACAAGGCTCCGCACGATCAGCGTGATCCAAACGTGGGGCCAGCTGGGCACGGTGGCTCACGCCTGCGATCACAGCACTGTGGGGGGCCGAGGCGGGCAGGTCACCTGAGGTCAGGAGTTCGAGACCAGACTGGCCGACATGGTGAAACCCCATCACTACTAAAAATACAAAAATTAGCCATGCATGGTGACAGGTGCCTGTAATCCCACCTACTCGGGAGGCTGAGGCAAGAGAATCGCTTGAACCCAGGAGGTGGAGGTTGCAGTGAGCCGAGATCGCGCCACTGCACTCCAGCCTGGGTGACAGAGTGAGACTGTGTTTCGAAAAAACGAAAAAAAGGCAAGGCGTGGTGGCTCATACCTGTAATCCCAACACTTTGCGAGGCTGAGGTGGGTGGATCACCTAAGGTCAGGAGTTTGAGACCAGTCTGGTCAACATGGTGAAACCATGTCTCTAGTAAAAATACAAAAATTAGCTGAGCATAGTGGCACACGCCTGTAGTCCCAGCTACTCGGGAGGCTGAGGAAGGAGAATCGCTTGGACCTGGGAGGTGGAGGTTGCAGTGAGCTGAAAGTGCGCCACTACACTCCAGCCTGGGCAACAAGAGCGAAACTCCATCTCAAAAAAAAAAAAAAGGGCCGGGCGCGGTGGCTCAAGCCTGTAATCCCAGCACTTTGGGAGGCCGAGACGGGCGGATCACAAGGTCAGGAGATTGAGACCATCCTGGCTAACACGGTGAAACCCCGTCTCTACTAAAAAATACAAAAACCTAGCCGGGCGAGGTGGCGGGCGCCTGTAGTCCCAGCTACTCGGGAGGCTGAGGCAGGAGAATGGCGTGAACCCGGGAGGCGGAGCTTGCAGTGAGCTGAGATCCGGCCACTGCACTCCAGTCTGGGCGACAAAGCGAGACTCTGTCTCAACAAAAAAAAAAAAAAAAAAAAAGTGGGTGCCTCAGTAATGGGGGTTTAAAACCAGAAAAAAGGGCTGGAGGCGGTGGCTCACGCCTGTAATCTCAGCAGTTTGGGAGGCCAAGGTGGGCGGATCGTGAGGTCAAGAGATTGAGACCATCCTGGCCAACATGGTGAAACCCTGTCTGTACTAAAAACACAAAAAATTTAGCTGGGCATGGTGGTGTGCACCTGTAGTCCCAGCTACTCAGGAGGCTGAGGTAGGAGAATCACTTGAACCTGGGAGGTGGAAGTTGGGTTGCTGTGAGCCGAGATCGTGCCACTGCACTCCCACCTGGTGATAAGAGTTAGACTCTGTCTCAAAAAAAAAAAAAAAAAAAAAAAAATCACCTCCCTGAGAGCTAAGAACAAGCCCAGACCCTGCTCAGGTCGGAGGACTCCAAGCCAGGCTGAAGACTGGCTGATGCGTCCACCAACGGCCCCACAACTCACCCTTTCCCCGGCCGTGGCCCGGAGGTTACCGCCCCTTTTCTGGAGATTTCTGAATACCCCACCCCTGAACGTGCACGTAGTTAAGAGTGGATGTAAATGTGACCGCGGCCATGCCCTGAGCTGCTGCCCTCCACGCACCACCCCAGGGCAGCCCACTCTGTGCCCTGTCACGGAGCCAACACGGAGCTGACATGGCTCCCGCCTCGTCATGGAGCCAACACGGCCTCATCCTGGAGCGGACACGGCCTCATCCAGGAGCAGACACAGCCTCGTCTTGGAGCAGACACGGCCTCATGCGGGACCAGACACAGCCACTCTCTCAGTAAAGCTACTTTCTCTACCACCTGCCTACCCCTGAATCCCTTCCTGGGCAAAGCCAGAACCCTCCTGGCCAGAGCCCCACTTTCGGGTTCCTCTGCCCCGCATCACTGCCATGCCACCAGGCTGACCAGCTAAAGCCACGCAGGGCTACCATGTCAGGAGAAAGGACACCCCCAAGCCCCAAGGCCCAGGGCCCCTTTTACCGGCTCCAGCTCCCGCTCCTGCTCCTGCTCCTGCTGGGGATCCTGGCCCGACTTGGACTTCTTTGGCTTGGAGGGGCCTCCGGGGCTGGAGAGGGACTTCGGCAACGTGACTGAAGATGATGTCAGAGGCCTTGTGGGCCCAGGAGGGCCCCCCAGTCTCTGTCCCCCGCCTGAGAAAGGAACAAAGGGGGCAGGTGCGTGCGCCCTCGTGCTCTGCTTCTCCTGAGTGTCCTCGCAGCAGGGCCCTGAGGTGTCCGCGTCCTCCCAACGGCTCAGGTCGCCGCGGCTGAGCTCCCCAGATTCCAAGGGAAGTGAAGTGCTGGCGGCCGCCTGGCCAGCCGACACCGACGACACCGACGAGCCCAGGCTTCCTGGGGTCTTGTCCACAGGGTCGCAGCACTTCATGACAAACCTGAGTGGGGCCAGAGGACAAGGGAAGCACCTTGTGGCGGCCCTGCCTGCCGCCTGCCCCGGCTCACCCGCTCCCACCCCCGGCTCACCCCCTCCCGCCCCGGCTCACCCCCTCCCACCCCCGCCTCACCCCCTCCTGCCCCCGCCTCACCCGCTCCCGCCCCCTCCCACCCCATGCACCCTCCCAAGATCCACCTCCCCTCTGGGGGACATGGAGATGAGGCCAGCACAGCCCGGCCCCCACGCCCACAGGCAGGCAGAGGCCGCCAGGCACCCTCCACGACGAGGGCCTGGGTACACCTTCTCCCCACTTGCCACGTGTCCTTTCTCCTTTCCTTTGAGACCACTTTTTTTTTTTTTTGAGACGGAGTCTCGCTCTGTCGCCCAGGCTGGAATGCAGTGGCCGGATCTCGGCTCACTGCAAGCTCCGCCTCCCGGGTTCACGCCATTCTCCTGCCTCAGCCTCCAGAGTAGCTGGGACTACAGGCGCCACCACCTCGCCTGGCTAATTTTTTGTATTTTTTTAGTAGAGACGGGATTTCACCGTGTTAGCCAGGATGGTCTCGATCTGCTGACCTCGTGATCCGCCCGTCTCGGCCTCCTAAAGCGCTGGGATTATAGGCATGAGCCACCACGCCGGGCCGAGACCACTTTTTGTAGCTAAATAGACCCCTCGGCCCTAGCAGCACTGCCCTTACCTGATGGTGGCGCTGCCCCCGGTCAGGCCCAGCGACTGCAGCGTCGTGCCCCGCAGGGCGGCTTCACCCATCACCTGTGGGAGAAGCAGCCAGGACACGTGGGCCTCGCACTGGGACCCCAGAGCCCAGGGAAACCCTCCGGGCTCTGGCTCCAGGCACCACATCACCTCTGGGCACTGGCATCACCAGGACCACAGGCCACATGCCCTCTCCGGCCTCCGTCCTACCCACTCCCACATCTGGCCCCTGCCGGTCCACACCCTCCGCAAGGCCCAGCTTCAGTCTGGTCTGCAGCCGGGGCAGGACCTGCTGCCCATGCCTGAGCGAGTCTCCCCCAGCCTGGTCTCCGCAGCTGGGACCCAAGCTCACTGAGGCCTGGACTGGCAGAGCTGGGCTGCAAGGAGGAGGCCCTGGAACCAGGACGCCCTGCCCGGAGCGGGAGAGGCAGGAACGTGCTGTCACCCACGGGGGCAGGGAGGAGGCCTGGGCAAGACATGCACATCTGTGACTGAGCCGGCCGGGCCTCTGGGCCAGGGTCACCCTGGCTCCACGATGCTTGCCAGCCCTCCCTAGGCCCAGTCCCTGCCGGGAGCCCTCCCCCCTCTGGTGGGTGGAGGTCAGGCCAGCAGCATCCACTCTTCAAAAGCCTCTGAGTGGGCCCCAAAATCACAACACACGGCTTCACAGGCTCTGGTGTCTGGCCAGGGCGAGACCCACCCCACGGCCGCCTCCCCCATGGGTCACAGCGGCCCGGCTGCCTCGGGACACTGCCCCACCCTCCTCCGACTCTCCTGCTCTCAGGGCATTCCTGGGGCTCGGCTTGGGGTGGGCAGGGCTCGGGCCTGGCTGGCCACGTCCCACATGCTAGCTCTGACCTGTGAGGAAGGGGTGGAGAAGCTGCCTCCAGCAAGGGCAGAGTCAAGGGCCCGGCACAAAAGCCAAAGGGTGTAAGGGTCCCCGGGGACCCCAGCCTCAGGCCGGTGCTGGGCCTGGGTCCTGAGCCCCGTGGCTGTCCCCTCGAGGGAGGACATAGACCTGAGCCCCCCTCACAGCCCTGGCGGGGGAGCTTCCAACTAGGGATAAATGGGGGGAGTGTCCCGTCCACACCAGGGCCCCCCAGGGCTCCCCCGGGACAGTGCCCCCCACCGCAGCAAAGGGCACTCAGCCAGGGTGGAAACAAAAGGCCCCTGTGAGGCCAGGGACGAGCGCTAGGAGGGTCCCGCCACGGCGGGCTTTGCTTGCGCCACGCCACACTCGGTTTTGAAAATGATCAAAACACCGAGCTAAGCAAATATTTATTAAATGAAACCACTTTTGTAACTCTTGGGCTTTGAGAGAAGCTGAAAAAACAAACAGGGCGCCGAGGGAGGTTTCGGGGCAGCCCGGGCTCCGAGGGCCGGCCACTCCCTCTTTTTCCATGAAACACGTCGTGCTTTCAAGAGGCTGTGGGAGAGCGGATTTTCCAGCTGGGAAGTGGGCTGAGAGTGAGTGAGGACTGGGTGGGCAAGAGTGGGCCGCCTACCTCGTCCCTCGTGTACACGCAGACTGGGGTGGCCCCGCTGGGGTGCTGCAGGCACTCCCTGGGAGGAGAGGAAAGAAACCGTCAGCTACCCCAGGGCACCTCAGCCAGTGCCACGGAGGCCCGGGGCAGGAGACTCAGAAAGCAAAGGTGTGGGGCCCTCACCCACCCCCTACCCAGAACAGCGTCCCAGGCCCAGGCCACAGCCCTCAGCCCAGGCCCCCACTGTGCCCCACAAGTACCGGGAGGAGACACCTGACAGCTGGAGGCACTCCCAAGGAGCATGGCCTGCGGTGCGTGGCCTGGGGGCTACCCCCACCTCCAGTCTTGGGGCTGATGGCAGGACATGAAGCCGCCGATACGGCCCAGGGACCACACGGGAGGGACAAGCAGCGCTGGCTCCGGAATGCGGCTCATGGCCACCTTCACTCAGAAGCCTGAGCGTGAGGGTCCCAAGGTCTGGGCTTTCATCTAAAGCCGCCCACTAAGAGGAGGTGCCCCTGTCTCCACTCCCTGCTGTCCTCCCTCAGTGCCGACGCCTGATGTCACCAAAGCATGGGGGGAGGGGTGCTGCACTCCGCTCACGCCCGCTTGCCCGTGGCCGGGGAGGCCGTACTTGTAAGTCCATGTCGGACTCTGCCACCAGTGTCTTTCTGAGCCTTGCCCCGCAGGAGACACAGCTGGACCCGTGCATAAGTGGGCGTGCATATGCAGCATGCTCCCACACAGGCCTGATGTGCACAGCAGCCTGGGAGATAGGCGTATCCCGCCACGTACAGCCCCAGAGCACGTGAACTGCTGGCGGCACCTGCTGCATAACGGGGGCTCACCTGTGTTTCCAACTCCCCACCGTGAATTCCTCCCCACTGAGAAAAACAAAAGCCCGTCTCAGGCCTTCCTTGGAGACGCCCCTGATCAGTCCCCCTCTAGGGAGGGGAATCCGAGAGGAGGGGGCAGGTGGCCAGAGCCTAGGCAAAGGGGAGGCCAGGGTTGGCCTCAGGTCAGGCAGGTGCCCTGCCGGACCCTATGGCCAGTGTGGCTTGCAGGGGCTCACGTGGGACAGGAAGACACCTGTCTTCAGGTCAGGTGGTGACCAGAACACAGGGCATAAAGATAAGGTGAGAGCTGGGCTGGAAACTGCTTACAGCAACACCCTGGGATGGAAGGGTCAGAGGACAGGGTGTCTGCAGTGTCCAGGTCGAGACACCCATGCACGTACATGCACAGAGCGGGCTCCTGGGACAGGAGCTGTCAGCCTCCGCTTGAACCCACCTGCATGCTTATAGGGCCGCAGGGGCCCATCGTGGGCCCACCGTGCACTCGCCGTGCTCCCGACCCTGGGATCTGCTGATCTACTCGAAAGGGCAGGACTCAGCTGGGCACGGTGGCTCCCGCCTGTAATCCCAGCACTTTGCGGGGCTGAGAAGGGCGGATCACGAAGTCAGGAGATCGAGACCATCCTGGCTAACATGGTGAAACCCCGTCTCTATTAAAAATACAAAAAATTAGCCATGCGTGGTGGTGGCACCTGTAGTCCCAGCTACTCAGGAGGCTGAGGCAGGAGAATGGTGTGAACCCGGGAGGCGGAGCTTGCAGTGAGCCGAGATGGCGCCACTGCACTCCAGCCTGGGCGACAGAGCGAGACTCCGTCTCAAAAAAAAAAAAGGTCAGGACTCGCCTCCGTGAAATGGGAACAGACCAGGCAGAAAAGCCAGAGGTGCCACACCCAGGACAGGCCCAGCCCCGCCACCTGGGGACTCGGCCATGTGTGTGGGTTTGACGTGTTTTCTTTTGTTTCGTGGCCTCTATTTTTCATGTCCTCACTCCTAGGGGAGGGGCATCCCTTCCCCACCCCAGCCCCAACTCTGACAGCCTGGTCCGGCTGCAGAGGCCCCGCAGGGCTGTGAACTTAGCCCCATGCTCTCCCTGGACCCACTGCCTACAATGAAGCCCCTTCCCCGATGGCCTCTGGCCGGTGGAGCGCGTGCGCACCACGCACATGGTGATGTCCTCTGCACACAGGCTGGGACACGCTCACTGAGCTCCCATCCCACAGAAAAGCCAACAAAGGGCCTCGGATTTGCCTTCCCTCCAAATGGCTGGAGACTCAGCCCAGAGGCCCCGAGACCCAGGGCTCAGGAAAACACAAGGCCCCAAAATGCACGGAGCAGAGCCTGGACAGAGGCGGAGCGAGGCCTCAAGGAAGCACAGCCCCCAGGGCCAGGAAGGGGAACGGTGAGGGCCGAGGGTCCCGGCTCCCTAGCAGGATAGGGATGGCCAGGGGCCGGAGACGGCCACGAGGCCACTTATCTATGGCTGGGAGGCACTGGGCCGTGTGGTGGCCGGAGTCCCAACTCACAGTCCTTCCCCGGCACCGACCGCCAGCTTGGGGACCTCAAATCACAAACAGGGACAGAGCACAGCAGCGTGACATCAAACGCCAGCCGGGCTTTGATGTGCGGCTCCTCCAGAGGGATCAGATTCCCTCGTGCGGGATCTGAGGGAGCGGCTTGTGAACACGTTGTGTGGCGGCCAGCCGAGGGGAGGGGCGGCCGGCAATCGGTTCCAGACCTTCTGCGCCGGCCCAGCGTGCAGGACGACATGGCCCGGGGGAAATTCCAGCGCCCGAGGAGACAGAGCCCCCTGTGCCTGGCGAAGCCATCCCCGCCTGCCCCCTACGCAGACCTCTGCAAGGCCCAATGCCTGCAGGGGCAAGACCCAGGGCCTCCCGGGGACCCTAGGCCAGGCCAAGCCACCAGACACCACGCTCCGAAGCCAGAAACGCAAGACAGGGTGCTGTTGGGCGCGTCCGCGGGTGCCTGCTCGCAGCGGGGTACTGGCACACTCTCACGCACTCTGCAGCCAGCAGAGCTCCCCGCTTGGCCAGGGCCAGAAGCCAGCGGGACAGCCAGGAGGGCAGACACGCCCCTGCTGCTGGCTTCGCCGGCATATTCTTTATGCACCACAAACCCCGCCCCGGTGGGGCCCCGCTCCGGCAAGGCGCGGCTGTGTGCTGGGGACAAGGCAGTGAGTCTGGAGCCCTCCGTGTTCATGTCCTGTCTGGGTCTGACAAAGCTGGGTGCAAACACAGGTGCTGACGAGAGCCTAGGCAGCAGCACGCGCCCTGCCGGGAACAGAAGCCCGCAGAGCTGTGGCTGCAGGCCAGGAGCCACTCGGCTCGGGGAGGCCCGCAGAGGGCACCACCCACCACACGACAGCCCAGCCGAGAAGTGGGCTGGACAGAGCCTGGGAGAGCCTCAGGGGAAGGCAGCCTCCGGCCGTCCCAACCCAGCCAGGTCCGGACAGGGATGGACAAGGATGAACAGGGATGAACAGGGATGAACAGGGACGGACAGGGATGGACAGGGATGGGCCCCAGAGCTCTGAGCTGGCCTGGCAGCATGCACAGACCCACCCTGAGTGTGGCCACAGCCGGTGCTCCACCTGGCAGAGCCCTGTTCTCACCAGCAGCCCCTCCCTACAGCCCAGCACACCCAGAGGGCTGCAGAAATCGCCCGGCTTTCCTAGAGCCACAGCTTTACCCACAGGAGGAGGAACGGGCTGAGACGCACTCAGCCAGACCCCAAGCACTGAGTCAAGGCTGGGAGCAGAGGGCTGGGCACCTGGGAAGAGATCCAGCCGGGGGCCGGGCACACTGGGGAGCCACTCCCACCTGGGGTGCCCATGCCAGCACAGCCGGGGGGCACCTCTGAGAGAGGGCAAATCCCCTCCACGGCCGAGCTCATGAATCTGACATTTACAGAAAGCCCACGCTGCTCCCTCACGGTCTTCAGATGGAAAGCGGCTCAGCTGCTGTGTGAGCTCCCTCGGCTCACCCTCGGTCACCCCCAACAGTCCCCGCTTCTCTTCCTGCTCAGCAGCTCAGCATGGTCCGTCCACACCCCTGCCTTTCACCACTGCTCCATGGCAACCAGGTCCCTACAGGACTTGGGGTTCAAGCTACGGGACTCGCTCGCCTGCCCCCGTGGGCTGCCCAGACATGCCACAGCACCCCCCAAGTCGCAGTATGACCTCCCGGGGCTCGTGCCTGCTGGCTCTAAACCCACGGAGAGAAACTCCTCATAGGAAATCCTTTAGCATTAACAACCTGTACCCCAGCAAAGACGCTGGCCAGAAAGGTGCTCCCTTTCCTTCTCCGGGTGCCTCCAGGAGGGCCCGTAGGCAATGAAATCCTCGTTTCCATCTCATGCGTCTCCTATCACGGAAGGCACACTCCCCATCATGAAGATCCCAAACTCAGACACAGGCCCACCGGGCAGGTGGAAACAGTGTCCCCCAGAACTCAGTGTGGCTATTCACACCCCTCTGCTGGGCAGAACCTTCAGATTACAGGGAAAATGGGAAAGCTTGAAGCCAGCAGTGTGCAGCCTCCGTCTCCTGCCTCCCTGCGGCAGAGCCTGAGAGGCAGAGCGGAGGAGCGGCCAGTCCACGAGGACCCGGCCCAGACCGAGACGCTCCAAGTGCACAGTACACGCAGGTCTCAAGGACTTTGCACAACAAAAGCATGAGACGGCTTGCTTTTCTACTGACTACGTGTCCAGGAAGTCGTATTTTGGGTATACTGAGTTAGTTACACATATTACTAAAGCTAATGACACCTATTTTTATTTCTTCTTTAATGCGGTAACAAGAAAAAGTGGGTCACTGGCCAGGTGCGGTGGCTCACGCCTGTAATCCCAGCACTTTGGGAGGCCAGGGTGGGGTAGATCACCTGAGGTCTGGAGTTCCAGACAAGTCTGGCCAACATGGTGAAACTCCGTCTCTAAAAAAATACAAAGACTAGCCCGGCATGATGGCGCGCACCAGTAATCCCAGCTACTCGGGTGGCTGAGGCAGGAGAATTGCTTGAACCCGGGAGGCGGAGATTGCAGTGAGCCAAGATGGCACCACTGCACTCCAGCCTGGGTGAAAGAAAAGAAAACGTGAGTCACCTCCATGGCTGACACATGTGGCTCACTGGCATCCCCAAGGCCCCTGCTGCTTGAGTCGCTGGTCAGGCCAGGGCTGCGTGCTATGGTGACACCCTTGCAGTGGAGCTGCGACCTTTCAAACATGTGGCGGTCTCCATCCAAGGAAATCACCCAGGGGTCCCCAAATACACAAAGCAGGCTTTGTCCCAGGGCAACTCCTGGGCAGGCTACAGGCCTGCAGTCCCCAGCCATGGAACTCCCCTTCCAAGCACACTGTCCCTGGACTCAGACCTCCTCCGAAACACACGAAGGGAGAAACAACAGCTTCCCACCTGTCCCACTCTGCGAACACCTGGAGTTCCCAAGGCCTCCCCAAGCCTCCTGGGCCAGTGCAGGAACACTAGGCACGAGTGGGCCTTCCTCCCTCATGCAGACCTGCTGGGGACCAGCTTCCAGCACAGAGCCCACGAGGCACTCCACCCTCACCGTGGGGCTGGCAACGCCAACGCCACCCACCACGAAACCTCGTCCACATCCTGCTCCATGGTTAGCAAACTCCAGCTTCTGGGACGAAGCTTGGGTCTGAGCTTTTAGAAATGTATTTACTTATTATTTATTTATTTTTGAGACGGAGTCTCAGTCTGTCACCCAGGCTGGAATGCAGTGGTGTGATGTCGGCTCACTGCAACCTCCACCTCCTGGGTTCAAGTGATTCTCCTGCCTTAACTTCCCGAGTAGCTGGGATTACAGGCACCTGCCACCACACCCGGCTAATTTTTGTACTTTTAGTAGAGACAGGGTTTCACCATGTTGGCCAGGCTGGTCTCAAACTCCTGACCTCAGGTGATCTGCCTGCCTCAGCCTCCCAAAGTGCTGGGATTACACGTGAGAGCCGCCATGCCCGTCCCAGAGATAAAATGTAAGGAAACCCTGTCTTAAATTCCACCTCTGGAATTTAGCCCACGGGAGGAGCTGGGGTGGGTGACCAGGTGCAAAGGCCTCCAGCTGCAGGCTCTGCTCCGGCCCTGCCCGGGATGCCCTGAGACACAGCCAGACACCCCGCAACACCCACATGACACCCACATGATGGAACAGCATGGCTGTGAGGAGTGACAGGTGCGGGACCCTCCAGGAAGACGTCCACAGCATATTCACCAGCAATAAGAGTCAGCCACAAATCACTCTGCACCCCAGGCATGAGTGTTCACCAAATGAGATGTACGTGCAGACACACCCGGAGACAGACCCACACCGCCACACAGACCAGGGCGCCAGGCTGAGGGCTCCGGGCTTCACTACCAATGGCCCCACCACCTGCTGTCCCGGTTTCTCGAAAGAGTTGCCCCACTTGCTCCAGGTTTGGTTTTTTTTTTTTTTTTTTTGAGACGGACTCTCGCTCCGTTGCCCAAGCTGGAGTACAGCGGCGCAATCTTGGCTCACTGAAATCTCCGCCTCCTGGGTTCAAGCAATTCTTCTGCCTCAGCCTTCTGAGTAGCTGGGACTACAGGCGCCCGCCACCACGCCCGGCTAATTTTTGTATTTTTAGTAGAGACGGGGTTTCACCATATTGGCCAGGCTGGTCTCGAACTCCTGACCTCATGATCCGCCCACTTCAGCCTCCCAAAGTGCTGGGATTACAGGGGTGAGCCACCGCACCCAGACCTGTTGTTTCTTTTTACTGTTTTTTTTTTTTTTTTGGAGACGGAGTTTTGCTCTTATTGCCCAGGGTGGAGTGCAGTGGTGCGATCTCAGCTCGCTGCAACCTCCTCCAAAGCGCCCAAACCCACCCCCATAGCCACCACCAAAGCCACCTCCAGAACCACCACGCCCGGCCACACCTGTTGCTTCTTAAACTAAGTTTCACACAAGGTTTAGAGTCTGTTGAAGAGGCTTATGCTACCGCAATGGCCGCCCCACCTCTCCAGACACCCTCGGGCTCCTCCCCAGTGGCAGCGTCAGGCTACTCCGGGCCACTTCCTCACCTCCATCCCCATCTGAGGACTGACAGCACAGCCAGGGAGGACGGCCCTCACCAAGCACCCATGCCCGTGGGAGCATTAGATTCTGCTCATGCCCGGGGGCACTGCCCAGCCCGGGGACATTTCCTTCAGGACGTTCATCTTTCCTGACTTCTGTTCCCCGTGCTGTTTGGTTTTCTTCTCGCCCTCTGCCACTATTCTCTCAGGAAGCAGCACAGAGCCAGGGCACCGGGCTCCCCAGTCCTCACCCAGCACCCACACAGTGCCTGGGGTCACCCGACTCCCTGCCTGGCGCCACTCCTGCCTCGAGTTCCGCTCACCCCTGCCCGAGGCTTCGCTTTTCTCTTAGGCTCTGTCACCTCCTGCCTCGGGTCTCGCTCACCCCTGCCTGTGGCTTCGGCTTTGCTCTTAGGCTCCATCACTGTTGTTTGAGTTGCGTTTTGGAGGGAAAATTCTGTGCTTATCCTTAACCCGCTGCCATCCCCAGAGGTCTCCATTCACCCCAACACCTGCCAGGATGGCTTCCATCCCCATGACCACTGAGACCCAACCTGCAGACCTCAGTGCCCTCACCCATGAATGCAACACCTGTGCCACACAGCAGGAGCAGGCCCGGCCTGGGGCCACCAGGAGCGCCCGACACACAGCCACCTTCCCAGTGTGGTGCTACTGTCAGACCGGAGCAGGCCTGGCCCTGGCCACCTTCCTAGCGCCCGACGCACAGCCACCTTCCCAGCGCCCAATGCACAGCCACCTTCCCAGCGCCCGATGCACAGACACCTTCCCAGTGCCCGACGCACAGCCACCTTCCCACAGGCCCCACACTCAGCCCTCAAGACATGAACTCACTCCATCCACACACCAGCTGGGGCACAGGTGAGGAAACCGAGGCCCAGGGAGGGTGAGAACCTCCCAGGCTCACAGCAAACCCCAGCCCTGAATCCTTCCATTCTGCTGACTGAGCCTTTTACTGTCAAGCAAGACTTCCAGCCACAATGAAAAGACCCAAATTGACAAAGTGCCCATTTTTACACATTCAGGAACAACGTTTAAACCATTAAGCGACAGATAGAAACTGATACACACCAATTACTTGTTTTTATTTTTATTTTTGAGACAGAGTCTCGTTCTGTCACTCAGGCTGGAATGCAGTGGTGTGATCTCAGCTCACTGCTACCTCCACCTCCCGGGCTCAAGTGACCCTCCCACCTCAGCCTCCGGGGTAGCTGGGACCACAGGCACGCACCACCATACCTGGCCTAACATTGCTATTTTTTGTAGAGGAGGGGTTTCACTATGTTGCCAAGGCTGGTCTCGAACTCATGAGCTCAAGCGATCCGCCAGCCTCGACTTCCCGGAGTGCTGGGATTACAGGTGTCAGCCACTGTGCCCAGTCAGCCAATTACTATTAAGAAGATTTTCTAGCCAGGCGCGGTGGCTCACGCCTGTAATCCCAGCACTTTGGGAAGCCGAGACGGGCGGATCACGAGGTCAGGAGGTCAAGACCACCCTGGCTAACACGGTGAAACCCTGTCTCTACTAAAAAATACAAAAAACTAGCCGGTCGTGGTGGCGGGCGCCTGTAGTCCCAGCTACTCAGGAGGCTGAGGCAGGAGAACGGCGTGAACCCAGGAGGCGGAGCTTGCAGTGAGCCAAGATCGCGCCACTGCACTCCAGCCTGGGTGACAGAGCGAGACTCCGTTTCAAAAAAAAAAAAGAAGATTTTCTGGTGGAGCACAGGAGCTCATGCCTGTAATCCCAACAGTTTGGGCGGCTGAGATGGGAGGATCGCTTGAGCCCATGGTTCAAAAGCAGCCTAAGTGACCAACACAGTGAGGCCCTGCCTCTTAAAAAAAAGACTTTATGAGCCCATCCAGGGGAATCAAGCACAGGGAGCCCTGTCCCCAGCACCAAACGTCTCCCCTTGGCACTCACCAGGCCCCCACAACGACAGAAGCACATCCCTGCTCTTCTAGGAGGGCAAGGCTGGGCCGCTGGGCCCATGAAGCTCAGAATGATGAGCCGTGACCGGCCCATCCCCGAGGCTGCTGCTCGTGAACCGGCAGCCCACACACCCCTCCTCTACCGAGGAGTGCAAAGTGCCCGGAGGCACCACAGGCCAGCACAGAGCTTGGGCGTTCAGCTCTGGACCAGATCCAGTAACCACAACAGCTTTCCCACCAAACGGGGTAGGGAAGAGCCCACTGGCCCACTGAGGCTCACCTGGTCTGTGCAAAATGGCTGAGAAGCTCCCAGAGGCTCTGGCCTGAACAGAAACAGTCCTGCAGCCTGGAGCCATCGTCCAGCTGCAGAGCGATGCGAACCTGGAGAGTACCAGACGTGAGAAACTTCCTTAGGAAGAAAGGCAACCATTCCGTCTAAACCCCAGGCTGATTCTCCAGACGCAGAGACGGCGACTGCCCCTGCCCCGGCCTCCGGCGAGAGGCTGACCCCCACGGAGAAGGCTGCCCTCCTGTGTACTCTGGAGTGAGGGCCATGGAGGCTCCCTGGCAGGGCTGCACCAGCATGTGTCTGTGCATGTGTGTGTGCGGGTGTGTGCGGGTGCGTGCAGGTATGTGTGTGTGAGGGTGTGTCCAGGTGTGTGTGAGGGTGTGTGCAGGTGTGTGTGCATGTGTGTGCGAGGGTGTGTGCAGATGTATGTGTGTGAGGGTGTGTCCAGGTGTGTGTGCATGTGTGTGCGAGAGTGTGTGCAGGTGTGTGTGCCTGTGTGTGTGCAGGTGTGTGGGCGTGCATGTGCAGGTATGTCCATGTCTGTGTGCGGGCGTGTGCAGGTGTGTGTGCATGTGTGTGTGGTGTGTGGAGGTGTGTGCGTGTGTACACAGGTGTGTGCATGTTTCTATGGGTGGGTGGTGTGTGCGGGTGTGTGCAGGTGTGTGTGTGCATGTTTGTGTGCGGGTATGTGGGTGTGTGCGTGTGTGTGTGCAGATGTGTGTGCGAGTGTGGGGGGGTGTGTGCACGCGCACATGTTTGTGTGCGGTGTGTGTGCAGGTATGTGCAGGCGCCACGGGAGGGAACTGTGTTGGAGACACTCCTCGTGTCCCAGTGGAGGCTTCAAAAGATTGCAGCTCCACGGAACCTGACTGCAGCCTCAGGAGACACCCTGAGCTAAGCTGCTCCCAGATTCCTGACGCTCAGAAACCACATGAGATGGTAAATCTTTTTTTTTTTTTTTGGAGACAGAGGCTCACTCTGTTGCCAGACTGGAGTGCAGTGGAGCGATCTCAGTTCACTACAACTCCGCCTCCCGGGTTCAAGCGATTCCCGTCTCAGCCTCCCAAGTAGCTGGGATTACAGGTGTGTGCCACCACATCCAGCTGCTTTTTGTATTTTTAGTAAAAACAGGGTTTCACCACGTTGGCCAGGATGGTCTCAATTTCTTGACCTCATGATCCCCCGGCCTCGGCCTCCTAAAGTGCTGGGATTACAGGATTACAGCTGAGCCACCGCGCCAGGTCCACTATATCTTAACATCCCAACTTTTTTTTTTTTTTGAGATGGAGTCTTGCTCTTCACCCAGGCTGGAGTGCACTGGCGCAATCTCGGCTCACTGCAAGCTCCGCCTCCCGGGTTCACACCATTCTCCTGCCTCAGCCTCCCGAGTAGCTGGGACTACAGGCACCTGCCACCACACCCGGCTAATTTTTGTATTTTTAGTAGAGACAGGGTTTCATTATGTTGGCCAGGCTGGTCCCAAAGTCCTGACCTCAGGTGATCTGCCCACCTCGGCCTCCCAAAGTGCCCTGATCACAGGCTGCCCTTGCGGCATCCATGCAGCGCTTTGGGCTCTAACATTCTGGGCAATTCTATGAGCAGGTGGTCAGGCTGGTGGGTGAATGCTGCTGACACCCCAAGCCGGGGAGGGCACAACTGACCCCACCAGAAAGCAAGTAAAACTTCCACACGAAGAATGATGCGGGCCGGGCACGGGGGCTCATGCCTGCAATCCTTTGGGAGCACTTCAGGAGGCCGAGGCAGGTGGATCACGAAGTCAGCAGTTCCAGACCAGCCTGGCCAACATGGTGAAACCCTGTCTCTACTAAAAACATAAAAGTTAGCTGGGCGCGATGACAGACACCTGTAATCCCAGCTACTCGGGAGGCTGAGGCAGGAGAATCACTTGGGCCCAGGAGGCGGAGGTTGCAGTAAGCCGAGATCCTATCATCGCACTCCAGCGTGGGTGACAGAGGAAGACTGTTTCAGGAAAAAAAAAGAAAAAAAACGGCGCGGGTGGATCACGAGGTCAGGAGATCGAGACCATCCTGGCTAACACGGTGAAACCCCGTCTCTGCTAAAAATACAAAAAAATTAGCCAGGCATGGTGGCAGGTGCCTGTAGTCCCAGCTACTCAGGAGGCTGAGGCAGGAGAACAGCGTGAACCTGGGAGGCGGAGCTTGCAGTGAGCCAAGGTTGCACCACTGCCCTCCAGCCTGGGTGACAGAGCGAGACTCTGTCTCAAAAAAAAAAAAAAAACATGAAATGCTCATTTTCAGTCGCTAGTTAACAAAACACAGAAAGTTGCTTGGACCCAACCCAGGGAAGGCAGAATTGGTGCTAAGACTCATGTCCCTCCTTCCCCAGCACCCCCGACCGCCCCCCGTCCTCGGCCAGCTGAACGATTCTGTGCTCCACAGTCAGTCTGCCCCAGAGCACAGCCCACCATGTTCTCAGGCCCCTCACGGCTCCGGGAAGCAGGCACCATCTCCAGCTTGGCATTGTTGGGTAGGTTGGCGAATCTCCACTGCAGAGAAAGGTCGAGCACACTCCTCTGAAACCTGCAAGACAGACCAGAACCCACTCGCTGCCCTGCAGACCCTGAGGCGCCCTGCCATCCACGTCCCGCCATCCACGTCCCGCCATCCACGTCCCGCCATCCACGTCCCGCCATCCACGTCCTATGGCAGCTCCCCAACAGCAGGACGTTGTGAACTGCAGAGGCACAAGGCAGGTCCCTGATCACATGGGGCCTCCTGCAAGCAGAAGGGAACAGGGAAAAGGGAGAAGTGGGCCTTGGGGCGCACCGAGGGGGTTGCTCCTTCGGAGTCTGGGGTGCTGACAGCTCCAGTGCAGACTCTTGGAAAACAGAGAGAGAACGACTGGGGCGTGAACGCTGCTGCACTCACAGACGCAGGGGTATCATAGCCCCTGGCCATCACAGCTGGAGCCACCACAGAAAACTCGGCTGGCCAGGCGCGGTGGCTCACGTCTAGAATCCCAGCACTTTGGGAGGCTGAGGAGGGTGGATCACCGAGGTCGGGAATTTGAGACTAGCCTGGCCAACATGGGTGAAACCCCATCTCTACTAAAAATACTAAAAAAAAGCCAGGCATGGTGGCTCAGGCCTGTAATCCCAGCTACTCGGAGGCTGAGGCAGGAGAATCGCTTGAACCCAGGAGGCAGAGGCTGCAGTAAGCCGAGATCGTGCCACTGCACTCCAGCCTGGGCAACAAGAGCAAAACTCCGTCTCAAAAAAAGAAATCTGAATATACTCAAAGTGGTTGGCCCCACTTTGGAAATGCAAGCTGCTGTTGAAGACAACTAGTGAAGAGAGTTTAGACAGCCTGGGGGCATCTGGAAGAATTAAGAGAGAACAAACTTTGCCATCAATCTTCAATACTGGCCAGAAAGTGACTCTGGATTTGCCACATGAAATGTCTAGGGCAAGACATGATAGCAGATGGGGGGAACCCGAGGGCAGGCAGGCTGGGAGCCTTGGAGAGGAGGGCACTGTTCATGCAGGGGCTGCATTCCTCTGCACTGGCTGTGCTTTGTAAGCAAGCGGTACCATTAGCAGAGGAAAAGGAGACCTGAAAACATGGCCATGGTGCTGCAGGACCTGCCTCAAAATCACACTCACTGGTTCCCACCAGACACCACCACACAGACCACGGGCAGGTGAGCAATCAGAAGTAACAATGGGCCAGGCATGGTGGCTCACGCCTGTAATCCCAGCAATTTGGGAGGCCAAGACGGGCGGATCACTTGAGGTCAGGAGTTTGAGAGCAGTCTGGCCAATGTGGTGAAATCCCATCTCTACTAAAAATACAAAAATTAGCCAGGCGTGGCGGTGCACGCTTGTAGTCCCAGCTACTCGGGAGGCTGAGGTGGGAGAAGTGCTTCAAGCCGGGAGGCAGAGGTTGTAGTGGGCCGAGATTGTGCCATTGCACTCCAGCCTGGGTGACAGAGCGAGACTCCATCTCAAAAAAAAAAAAAAAGAAAGAAAGAAAAATGAGGCCAGGTACAGTGGCTCACACCTATCAACCCAGCACTTTAGGAGGCCAAGGCGGGCGGATCACTTGAGGTCAGGAATTTGAGACCAGCCTGGCCAACATAGTGAAACCCTGTCTTTACTAAAAATACAAAAATTAGCCGGGCATGGCACGTGACTGTAATTCCAGCTACTCAAGATGCTGAGGCACAAGAATCACTTGAACCCGGGAGGCAGAGGTTGCGGTGAGCTGAGATCATGCCACTGCACTCCAGCCTACGTGACAGAGCAAGACTCTGTTTCAAAATAATGGCCAGGGCACAGTGACTCATGTCTGTAACCCCAACACTTTGGGAGACCAAGGTGGGCAGACCACCTGAGGTCACGAGTTCAAGACCAGCCTGACCAACATGGTGAAACCCCGTTTCTACTAAAAACACAAAAATTAGCTGGGCACGGTGGCACATGCCTGTAATCCCACCTATCGGGAGGCTGGGGCAGGAGAATCGCTTGAACCTGGGAGACGGAGGTGGCAGTGGGCCGAGACAGCACCACTGCACTACAGCCTATGTGACAGAGCGAGACTCCATCTCAAAAAATAATAATAAAATAAAAAAGAAATAAAAATGAAACCCTAAGCCCCCAACCAACTGAACCGGCCTCTTCTCGGCCCAGTGGACCCCCGAAACCTTGAAAGCTGAGTTCCTGGCCATGGCTGGGTGGGAGATCAGACACGCCTACAGGCTCTCTTCCCTAAGGGATAAACAGAAAGCAGTCTTTCCAAAGACTCTTGGGCTGGTATCTGACATCAGCCAACCTTCCGCCAGGCCCTTCTCTCTTGCGGTTTCTTCAAAACAACCCACAGGTATTTCTTCCTGATAAGAAACCACCAACCATGGAGTCATTCTGGCACAGTCAGGGTTCTCGTGGCACAGTCAGGGTTCTCGTGGCACAGTCAGGGTTCTCGTGGCATGGTCAGGGTTTTTGTGGCACGGTCAGGGTTTTTGTGGCACGGTCAGGGTCTTCATGTCCGCTGGTTTGCCATTTATTTATTTATTTACTTTTTTTGTAGAGACAGGATCTCACTACATTCCCCAGGCTGATCTGGAATTCCTAGGCTCAAGCAATCCTCTGCCTCAGGCTCCCAAAGTGCTGGGATTACAGGCATGAGCCACTTTGCCCAGCCTGCTTCACCTCTGACTTCAGAGGCCAAAAATTCCACCCTCAGGTCATGCTGGCGCTGCCAATTTTTGAACATAGGACCCATGGAGAGGCAGGAAGCTCAATTGTGTGCACAGTTCTCCTTTCGTGAATACTCACGATCCTCCTATAGTGTATTAAGTACGTCTGTATCAGCCACCCCATTCGGTGTAAATCCCTGTCTTATTCTTCCCTCTCTTGAAGTGTCAGTTTCTAGCTTCTGGCTGGAGGCTACACTTCCTGGCCTGTTAGAATGGCCACCCTGCAAGCTGCAACCGGTTATGAGAAATAAAGCCCTCCTTTCCAAACGTATGAACCCCATTCTTCAGTTGACAAGAGAGACTGGAGAAGGATGGTGGGAAGGTCAGCGGCAGGAAGCCCAAGACCACCTGGCACTCAGAGCACAGGTCCTGGGAGTATCACATGGTCCAAACACAAAGTAGAAGACTGGAATGACCTGGCAGATATCACCCCTAAGAAACTCCTCCCAGGAGAGCCCCGTAAGGCAGGGTGGGCAAGGCCGGGAGGACAGTCTCCTGCTCTCTGCCCCCAGTGTTAGGACAACTGTACTATAAAAACAGGTCTTTAAGGCCAGGCGCGGTGGCTCATGTCTGTAATCCCAGCACTTTGGGATGCTGAGGCGGGCGGATCACAAGGTCAGGAGTTCTACACCATCCTGGTCAACGTGGTGAAACCCCGTCTCTACTAAAAATACAAAAATTAGCTGGGTGTGGTGGTGAGCACCTCTAATCCCAGCTACTTGGGAGGCTGAGGCAGGAGAATCATTTGAACCTACGAGGTGGAAGTTGCAGTGAGCTGAGACCGCACCACTGCATTCCAGCCTGGGCGACAAGAGTGAAACCCTGTCTCAAAAAAAAAAACAGAAAACAGGTTTTTTTTTTTTTTTTTTTTTTGAGACGGAGTTTCGCTGTGTCGCCCAGGCTGGAGTGCAGTGGCGCGATCTCGGCTCACTGCAAGCTCCGCCTCCCGGGTTCACGCCATTCTCCCGCCTCAGCCTCCGAGTAGCTGGGACTACAGGCGCCCGCCACCACGCCCGGCTAGTTTTTTGTATTTTTAGTAGAGACGGGGTTTCACCATGTTAGCCAGGATGGTCTCGATCTCCTGACCTCGTGATCCACCCGCCTCGGCCTCCCAAAGTGCTGGGATTACAGGCTTGAGCCACCGCGCCCGGCAGAAAACAGGTTTTTAAAGTAAAAAGCTTTGCGTGTGGGATAGACATGCATGTCTTACTCATATGAGGGCTCTGACCCTTCTGCTCAGACTCCTTGAGAGTCTGGCAGAAGCCCTGTCTTGGGAACAATACCCCCACACAGAACCGTGCGTGTAATTCCCAGGGCTGAGACTGCAGAGATCCACCCGCAGTTTTCAGGGCATCCTATTTCTCCATGGCCAGCTCTTTCCCCTCAGAGCCCCACTGGGAACTTATGCAACCCAATGCCATAAAACCTACAGGAGGTTGAATGGTGGCTCCCCCCAAAGAGACAGGTCAATGTCCTAACCCCCAGGACCTCTGAACATCTTACTGGGTATCCTGGTCTTTGGAGATGTAATGATAAATCATTCTGGATTATCCAAGAGGATCCAAAATCCAAAGACAAGGGTCTTCCAATGACAAGGGTCTTCCCAAGACACAGAGAAAACAGGAAAAGGCCACAAGAAATTGGAGACAGAGAGCAATCCGGCCACAAGCCAAGGAATGGGAAGCTGGAAGAGGCAAGAGGGATTCTCCCTTAGGGCATTCGGAGAGAGTGTGGCCCTGCCAAGACCTTGGGTCTCCAGAGCTGGGAGGCAATATATGACTGTTTAAAACCACCTGGGGGCTTTTCCAAGTGAGAGCCAGTATATTCAGGGGGCAGGGGCACAGATATACTCAGACCCTGCCGCTGAGCTGCAGCAAACTCACTTCAGATCATATTCACAGGGGTTGAAGTCCTGTCGCCGGCACGTGTCCTCCAGAACCTGGGGATGAGATGAAAGGACCGTGAACCACTGAGTGCGCAGGGCTGGCGGGCGCGGTGGGCCAGGCCAGCCAAGAGCACTCAGCTTCCTGGTGAGCCAGGTGGCTCTGCTCAGGCAAAGCCAAGCACAAGACCACACTATGGACGGTCCCTGCAACAGCTGCAGGCTCTCACCTGCAAATCCTGTCCACTCTCTCTCCCTTCCTCACCATCCCCTCAGTTTTGTAGGAAAACTCCGCTCAGGGTTCCCCTGCAGTACCGCAACACGGGCATCTTCCTGGCACACACCCTGGGCTCTCCTTCAAACCCTGTAGTTCTGCAACCTGCCTTAAACCTGCCCAGCACAGGCCACCCCTTGGCTCTGGCACGGTTCTGTACACCTGCTCCCACCGCCTGCACCTCCTCCGCCCCTCTTCTCCATGAGCCAAAGCCGTGGCCCTGGCACCAAGGGGTCCCGCGCAGTCTCTGCGGGAGTGCCCCACTTCCGCACTCTGCATGCCTGGCACCAACAGCCTCCTGGCTGCACCCTTCACCTGCCCAGGCCCGGCGACCCCACGCCGTGGGCTGCTCCCGCAAACTCCGAGTCGTGTGCACCTTCGGGTCCTCATGGTCCCCCACGCAGTAGAGGCTCAGTAAATACTTTTTTTTTTTTTGAGACGCAGCCTCGCTCTGTCTCCCAGGCTGGAGTGCAGTGGCGCGATCTCAGCTCACTGCAAGCTCCGCCTCCCGTGTTCACGCCATTCTCCTGCCTCAGCCTCCCGAGTAGCTGGGACTACAGGCGCCCGCCACCACGCCCGGCTAATTTTTAAAAAAATTTTTTAGTAGAGACGGGGTTTCACCGTGTTAGCCAGGATGGTCTCGATCTCTTGACCTCGTGATCCACCCGCCTCGGCCTCCCACAGTGCTGGGATTACAGGCGTGAGCCACCGCGCCCGGCCAGTACTTTCACATGTAATTGATTCGAGGTCACAAGGTGCCCGACTAAAAGCGCAGTGCGTGACTCGGCAAAAATCGCTTCCAGGCCCCACGGCCGGGACATTTGCCACCGCGCAACCCGGGCTCCCGCTCCGGGGGCACCCCGGGATGGGAACGCGGGTCTAGGGCTCCACTCTTCCCTCTTCCCGGCGCCCTCGCGAGCTGGGCTCGGCCGGGCGCTGAGTACTCGAGGGGGGTGAGACGCGGCGCCGTTCCTACCTCACCCCTGGGAGGGCTCGCCACCCGCCCCCCACTTGGGACCCCCGGGACCCCCGCGGAAGCGCAGGTGCCCGCGAGCAGGGGGCGGGGCCGCCGCGCAGGAGGCCGCTCATTGGCCGCCGAGGCCCCGCCCCCGAACACCCGAACGCCGACCGCAGTGGGCGGGGCCTCGGCGCGGCACCCCCCCCCCCACCCGCCCACCCGTTCGCCACGGGCCGGCGGCCGCACCTGAAGCAGCACGGTGCTCGGCGTCACCTTCACCGTGTGGCGCCGGCCGTTCGGGGCCAGCACCGACACCGCGGAGCCTCCGCCGCCTGCCGGGGCCGCCATTTTCCGCTCACGTGACCCGCCGCCGGCCCGGCGTCAAACAACTTTATCGGCAACAGCCGGGACGCGCAGCCACGCGGCCTAGGGGCGGGGCCGCAGCGCGCTTCCGGGTCCCGCCAGGCCCCGCCTTTTCCCCGCCCACGGCGCACCGGCCCCGCCCTGGGGCCACCTAACCCCGCGCCAGACCAGGCGACCCGGAGAGCGCGGCTGACCTCTGCCTCTGAGAAGCGCGGCTCCGACGGGCTCGCCGGGGCCAGGCTGGGCCGGGGCTGGGCGCGCGGTCACCCCCAGTGAGCGGCACTGAGCCGCGGGGTCCCAGCCGTCCTCGCTTCCTCCCGGACCAGTCCCCACCTAGGTGCCCTGCTCTCCCCCTACCCTCCCGGCTTCCTCCACTCCAGCAGCTGAGCCTCTTCCCTGCGCACCTGTCCCTGTGGTCAGCGTCCACCTCCTGACCTTTATGCTTTGGGGCAGGCCCCCCGCCCCTGTACGAATCCTCCCTGGGTGTTGGGGGCTCGTGACCCTCAGTCTAGACCTGATTTCCTTCATCCTAAAATGGGAGTGCAATATCTGGCAGCCCTGCGGCTGCTGAGACGGTCCCTAAACCTGAGAGTAGGAAAGGCGGGAGACCGGTTTCAGAACCGTGGGGTGAGCGTACTTGAGTCTCACCGGAGCTCCTGCGGACCCACAGGCATTCGAGGACTTCCCGCACCAACGCATGCTGAGGAGGGGCTTGGTGGAAGTCTCGGAAAACACCTTCATCCCTAGCCGCCGCAGCAGGGAAAGTACCTGGCCTCACTGCCACCAGGGCCACGTGCCACCAGCTCCAGGCTTTCAGAAGGAGCTGCCCTCCTGACTCGCAGCCGTCGAATGTGCTTAGCTCCCAGCACCTGGGCCAGTCATGGACAGCACTTGCACGTGTTCCCCCCACCCCGCCCCCTCCACGGCTCAACCGGGCCTGGTGCTCCTCTCTCCATGTGCCTGCCTGTCTCTGCGGACTCTTGGCCAGGGCTCAGATGCGCAGAAGCCTATGGAAGGGGGAACTGGTGCAGTTATCAGTCAATCCTCCCACAGTGCTGGGAGCCACCGCACCTGGCAGTCGTTGCTGAGTCTAAGGACACCCACCTCCTCTGCATGAGTGCTGTTGTGCCTTCCTGTCGATGACATATCCGTGTCACACACACACCTGTATGCTGGCAAACACGGACACCTATGTACATTGGAGAAACCTGGGGAAAGCCCCAGGTTAGCCACAGCCCTCCCATCCAGCCAGCCAGTCCCATGCCCTGTGCAACCTCAGAGCCTTACTGAACCACACATCACCTGGTGGGTTTTAATTCTTTAGTGGTGTTTTTGAAAAGTCTGTTCCTGGCCGGGCGCGGTGGCTCACGCCTGTAATCCCAGCACTTTGGGAGGCCGAGGCGGGCGGATCACAAGGTCAGGAGATCGAGACCACGGTGAAACCCCGTTGAGACCACGGTGAAACCCCGTCTCTACTAAAAATCGCGCCACTGCACTCCAGCCTGGGCGACAGAGCGAGACTCCGTCTCAAAAAAAAAAAAAAAAAAAAAGAAAAGTCTGTTCCTATTTTCCTTAGACTGTCCCACAGTCTGGATCCTTGGTTAAATGTTTGGGGCAATGGTGAAGGGAGGTGACAAGTCAGCAGGAGGTGCAGGACATCAGCGTGGCCATGAGTGAGGACATGAAGTTTAACCAGTGGTCAACTTCGGGTCTGCGAAATTCCTCCATGGTCAAGGTCTCTTGCTCCTTGTGGAGTAATTAAGGCATGTGTGAGGTCATTCTTTTAGACCACAAATATCAAGTTTTTCCAATAACCATTTGCCCAACAGTTTTAGCATCAGTTAATGAGTAGATTCATTGTTACACCGTGAAGCTGCAAAATCATGGCTTCCCAAGTTTATTGTTTCTTCTACATTTATAGGCACTTTCGGTCAACTTTCCCCTCCTTTAAAAAATGATCAAATATTTGGGAGGCTGAGGCAGGAGAATGGCGTGAACCTGGGAGGCAGAGCTTGCAGTGAGCCAAGATCACGCCACTGCACTCCAGCCTGGGCAACAGAGCAAGACTCTGTCTCAAAAAAAAAAAATTAAATATGGCCAGGCGCGGTGGCTCACGCCTACAATCCCAGCACTTTGGGAGGCTGAGTTGGGCAGATCACAAGGCCAAGAGATTGAAACCATCTTGGTCAACATGGTGAAATCCTGTCTCTACTAAAAAAAAAAAAAAAAGTACAAAAATTAGCTGGGCATGGTGGCGCGTGCCTGTTATCCCAGCTACTCGGGAGGCCGAGGTAGGAGAATCACTTGAACCTGGGGGAGGCGGAGGTTACAGTGAGCTGAGATCGCGCCATTGCCCTCCAGCCTGGGTGACGAGAGTGAAACTCCATCTCAAAAAAATATGTATATGTATATAATATTAATATGAACTCATGTATTTTTTTCATTTTCAGTCAGCATGCATTTTGATGCTCAAATTGGTCCAAATTGGGCCAGTGAGACCTCCTTTAAGCTGAGTCCTATGCTTTTTTTGATGGGAGGGATGACTTTTTATCCCAATATTATTTCAAACTTAGCTGAGCAAGGTGGCTCACACCTGTAGTCTTAGCTACTCAGGTAGCCGAGGCAAGTGGATTGCTTGAGCCCAAGTTCCAGCCGTAGTGAATCACTGTCTTACCTGTGAATAACTACTGCACCTCAGCCCCAGCAATATAGTACGATACCGTCTCAGAAAAGGAGAAGGAGAAGAAAGAAGAAGGAGGAAGGAGGAAGAAGGAGAAGAAAAGTTTGCAAAAGCAGTATGAAGAATTCCTGTATATCTTTTTTTTTTTTTTTTTTTTTTTTTTTTTTTTGAGATGGAGTTTCCTTCTGTCACCAGGCTGGAGTGCAGTGGCACAGTCTCAGCTCACTGCAACCTCTGCCTCCCGGGTTCAAGCAATTCTGCCTCAGCCTCTCAAGTAGCTGGGACTACAGGTGCGCACCACCACACCCAGCTAATTTTTTTGTTTTCTTTTGTTTTGAGACGGAGTCTCTCTCTCTTGCCCAGGCTGGAGTGCAGTGGTGCAGTCTCGGTTCACTGCAAGCTCCGCTTCCCAGGTTCACACCATTCTCCTGCCTCAGCCTCCCGAGTAGCTGGGACTACAGGCGCCCGCCACCATGCCAGACTAATTTTTTTGTATTTTTTAGTAGAGACGGGGTTTCACCGTGTTAGCCAGGATGGTCTCAATCTCCTGACCTCATGATCTGCCCACCTTGGCCTCCCCAAGTGCTGGAATTACAGGCGTAAGCCACCGTGCCCAGCCTAATTTTTATATTTTTAATAGAGATGGGGTTTCACCATGTTGGCCAGGCTGGTCTCGAACTCCCTACCTCAGGTGATCCACCTACCTTGGCCTCCCAAAGTGCTGGGATTACAGGCATGAGCCACCATGCCCGGCCTCCTGAATATGTTTTAGCCAGATAAATCAGTGTTTACATGTCACCCCATTTGCTTTATCATATTCTCTCTCTCTCTCTCTCTCTCTCTCTCTCTCTCTCTCTCCATATATATGTAAAAAACTTTTTCTGGCCAGGCACAGTGGCTTACACCTATAATCCCACCACTTTGGGAGGCCAAAGTAGGAGGATCATTTGAGCCTAGGAGTTTGAGACCACCCTGGGCAACATAGTGAGACTCCAGCTCTACAAGAAGTACAAAAGTTAGCTAGGCATGGTGGCATGTCCCTGTAGTCCCAGAGATTTGAGAGACTGAGGCAGGAGGGTCACTTGAGCCCAGGAGGTCGAGGCTGCAGTAAAGACATTGTGCATCTTTGCCACTAAATACTTCAGTTTGTGTATTTCCTAAGAATAAGGCCAGTCTCAGCCAGGCACCGGGGCTCATGCCTGTAATCCCAGTACTTTGGGAGACCAAGGCGGGTGGATCACCTGAGGTCAGGAGTTCAAAACCAGCCTGGCGAGCGTGAAACCCTATCTCTACAAAAAAGTATAAAAAGTAGCCGAGCATGACGGCAGGAGCCTGTAATTCTGGCTACTTGGGAGGCTGAGGTGGGCAAATTGCTTGATCCCAGGAGGTGGAGGTTATAGTGAGCCAAGATCATACCACTGCACTCCAGCCTGGGCAACAGAGCAAGACTCTGTCCAAAAAAAAAAAAAAAGGCCGGGCGCGGTGGCTCAAGCCTGTAATCCCAGCACTTTGGGAGGCCGAGACGGGCGGATCACGAGGTCAGGAGATCGAGACCATCCTGGCTAACACGGTGAAACCCCGTCTCTACTAAAAAAAAAATACAAAAAAAAACTAGCCGGGCGAGGTGGCGGGCGCCTGTAGTCCCAGCTACTCCGGAGGCTGAAGCAGGAGAATGGCGCAAACCCGGGAGGCGGAGCTTGCAGTGAGCTGAGATCCGGTCACTGCACTCCAGCCCGGGCTACAGAGCAAGACTCCGTCTCAAAAAAAAAAAAAAAAAAGAAGAAGGCCAGCCTCTTATATAGCCACCATAATTTCATACAAAATTGGGAAATCTAACATTGATATCATATTCTGAGTTAATCCACAGTTAATTGTCCAAGTGTGGACATCTTTCCTGCATCCTTTTGACATTTCCATTATTCTTTGGGCACCTCCTCCCTGCCCAAGCCCTGAAGTCAGCCATTTTTCAGAGAAACTCCAATCCCTTTTACAAGGAAATGGAATTTAGAGGCCAAGCTCTGGGTGCTGAATGTGCTCATGGCTACTGGGGTGTCACTGCTTTCTGGGCCCTCTCAGGGGACACGGTTAGTGTCATGAGTTCATCTGAATATTTCTAAGCCACACCTCAGCCTTCTCCCCCTTCTTCCCTCATTCCATATTTGTATTGGGTTGAATTCTATTAAATTGCCCTAATTGACCTTTTTTTCTTTTCTTTTTCTTTTGAGACAGAGTCTCACTCTATTGCCCAGGCTGGAATACAGTGTCACAACCTCGGCTCAATGCAACCCCCCACCTCCCGGGTTCAAGCGATTCTCCTTCCTCAGCCTCCTGAATAGCTGGGATTACAAGCGCCTCCCACCATGCCCAGCTAATCTTTGTATTTTTAGTAGCTATGGGGTTTCGC